ACTTCGCTCTTAAACCTCTCCAGCCATCTCTACAGCAACCAGGGGGTTTTATTTCAGAACGGCCCCACAGTTTTCTTTAAAGAAAACACATCCTTGAACCTCAGTGCTCATTGACAGCAGGGAATGACAGCCTAGAACTGGAAAAAACACCAGCACTGCAGCTTGAAATAGCATGAGATATTTCACCCAAACTTTTGGAGATCTGGTCAAGGTAACTGGGACACAACAAAATCAAGCGTAGTCACAACACAGTGATTAGAACTGGATTGCTATTAGAACCTGAGTAATTACAAAAGAGCCACAGTTTGGCCAGCAGCCAGATTTTTACTCAAAAATACCCCAAAACAAAACTACTCCAAATGTCCAGAAAAATAGGAAAACTAGAGGAAATTTTGTCTAAACAGATAATATTTCAGGTAGCTGTCATTCTATGAGATGGGATTTGGGTTCCAGAGTATGAGGTTCCAAGCTGAAGAGAAGGCTGGAATGGTGAAAATAGTGGAAAAAAACCCCAACCCAAACCCAAACCATCCCAAAAACCAGCCATACAGGTGAGACCTCAGAAAAATTACAAATTAATTATTATTAAGGTTGGAAAAGACCTCTAAGATCGAGCCCAACTTTAAAATGTTTTCTGAGATATCCAACAGTAATCAATACAAATAGGAACATCCTCAAATCCCCGCATGCATATGCAATTTTTAAACTTTAATTCAGCAAGAGCCCAGCATGACCCTGAAAGCTCTGCTATGTGCCAGACACAGGGGTGCATTTAGCATCACTTTTATCTCCCTGTGTCTCATTCTCCTAAAGGCAGATGGAACTTCACCACACAGGACTGCAAGGCACAGAAAGCAATTCCTTTGCCTTGCAGAGGGCACAGTTCATGGCCACACATAGGAAATAAAATATGAACACAAATGGCTTTATTCAGGCTACAAAACCAGGGCACTAACTAGGAAAGACTGTCCATGCAAAGACAATGCATGCAAGACACTGCAAGGACAACCCTTTCATAAGAGTGGGCACAAAAAAACCACAGTATACCTAGAGAAGTGAGAATAAGTTATCTACTTCACACAGCAAAGGTGCATAAGTGAAATGTTTTGCCTTGTGAACTTGTTCACAGCATTATCACAAGTATTTGGGGATCAATTGCAAGGCCTGTGGATACAACAGGAGGGACTTGGAACGGAGTTACACTGCTCTGCCTTAAGCAGATCCACGCAAAGGAGATACGGTCACTCACTACAAGCTGATCCCTATGGGAATTCCCCAACACAGCTGTGTTGTATTATTTCAATCTGACTGGAAAAGACTGCGTGGCCACCCTTGTCTCTTATTATCGGGGAACCAACAAAGAGCCTGTTCAACAGGACCCCCTAATGAAAATACAGGGGATTTTGACACAAAAACTCCACTCAGACGAATCACAAAAAAGCGCACAGGTGACTTCTACACGTTTTTGTTTTGAACAGCCAGAGTGTCCAGACTTAAAAAAAAAAACACACCTAATGTAAGTGAAGCACTTTTTCTCCCGAAAATGCTAATGGCAATGCCTCGCTGCCGTAGTTCCAAACTATCCAGTCAGATGAGTTCACAAGCATCCTGTCTCAGCTCACAAGCACTCCCCCTCCCGCCGCATCCCGAGGGGCAGAGCTACAGCCCAGACCGTGTGAGAAAACCCGGAAACCCGCTGGAGGAGAACAAGAGCTTCCATCAATGTCAACTGGCCCTAGCACACGGAAATATCGAGTAAAGCTGGGTATCTCCTGGCTCCTCCCATATATAAAAAAAATAAATTAGTCTTAAGGATGCCTGCAACACAATCTTAGCAAAAAGCAAATTAATTTCTTTAGTGATCCTGTCATTTCCTCCAGTAACCTAGCTTCCAAAGTTTCTAGTTTCTTAAGGAAACCAGAACTGAGAAGCCATCTGTTATGGCCGAGAAAAAAAAAAAAAAAAAAAACAGGAACCAGACAACGAAAACCAGACCGCGTTGTATCTGCAAGGTTTTTAACAGGAACACTTAAAAAAACCGCGGTGACTTCCAAATTCTAAGCGGGCTTTTCTCGAGACTCTGAGACAAAGAAGGAACCTCTATATCACAGTTACTACGTCCCAAAACTCTCCATCCCAGTGTTGGGAACACGAGAAACTTAGCGAGCGAATCCCCGTCAAACACAGGGGAGCCGCGTGTATCTTTGAGCGGACTGAGCAAAATCAATTAAAAACCTCACAAACACAACCCAGGAGCAACTCAAGACACTGCTTCCACCAAGGGAAAACACCGCTGTCGCAGGCGGCGCCGCAGCCTGCCCGAGGAGCTGAGTTTTTATTGTTTTAAGGCGAAAAGCCGCGTCCCTTTTGTTCCTGCCGGGACCTGTTGCGCCGCGCGGATTTCCCCGGCGCAGCGGAGCGGCCGCTCGGCGCGTACCCGTGGCGGGGCCGGGCGGGCCCCCGCGGCGGGCCCGGGACTCACTCTGGCTGTTGGCCTGCTGCCCGTTGGCCGGGATGGACGGCGGCGGGTGCTGCTGGTGCTGCTTGCGCGGCGCGTGGTTCTGCTTCTCCATGTTGAACCCCTTGTTGCCCTGCATCTTCCCCACCTAAAGGGCGACACGCACAGTCAGACTCGGCGCCCGGTGGGTCCCGCCGGCCCCGCGTGCCAGGGGCGGGGCGGGCCCTGCAGGCCGCGCCGGGCCCCGGCACCGCCGCGGCGGAGCAGGGCTGAACCGCCACCCCGAGGGCCGACCCCCAGCCGCGCGGCCTCACCTTGCGGCGGCACCGGCCGGGGACACGGACGCGGACACCGGGACGGGCTCCGGCGCCGGGCGCGGAGAGCGGGAGGGGCGCGGGCACCGGGACCGCGGCGGCCCTGAGCGGAGAGCGCGCGGCCGGAACTCGCGCACCCTATCGCGGCGCCCCGCTCCCCCGCACCCCCATTGGCCGCCGCGCTCGGGAAGCCGCGCCGCTGATTGGTTTTGCTCGCCGTCACTCACTGGCGTGGCAAAGGTTGGGGCGGGACAGGGCGGCCGCGCGCGGCCGCGATTGGCCGGGCCGGGCGGGCGCGCGCGCGCCGCCAATCAGGGCGGCGGGGCAGCCAAGCTCGGGTGAGAGGCGAGCGGGGGACAAAGGGAGCGGCCGCGCGAGCCGCCCCGCGCGCGGCGCGCAGGCGCGGTGCGGGGGCCGCGCGCGTTTAAAGGGCCAGCGGCGGCACCGAGAGAAGCGCGTGCGGCCCCCCCCAACACCTGCGGGAGCGGCACCGGGGCACCCCCGGGGACGGCGATTAAAAACCACTGGCGATTAGAAACCGCCCCGGGGCCCGGCGGAGCCGGCGGGTATCGCTCCGGTCTCCTCGCGGCGGCCGCCAGCCCCGTGCCCGCTCCAGCCGCGGGCGCCCCCTCGGGCTCGGCTCGGCAGGCGCGTCCTGTCGTGCCCTACCCTGCCCTGCCCTGCCCCGCCCCGGCGGCTCCGGGAGAGCGGTCGTGTCCTGCCTCCGGTGGGATTCATTTCACCGCCTCCCAGTAAACCCTCCCGTTCCCCTCCGCCGCGGCCGCGTTGCCCGCGGCTCGCAGCCCTCCCGGAGCCTCGAGTGCCCGGTGTCCTGATGTGCACCCTGATCCCGGCCCACGCTCAGCCCCGGCACCCCCGTGTGTGCCCGCGGGCTGGGAACGGGGGCGGGAAGGGCGGCAGAGCCCTCCGGGGAGCGGGGCGGCCAAAGGGGAGATGCTGCCCCGCTGGGGATGGAGGGGACCCCCGGGGGCGGGCGGGGGTCCCGGAGGCCGGGGAGGAGGATCCCGGGGAGCGGGGGCGGTGCCGAGGGCGGGGGGCGCCGGCCCGGGCGGTCCCTCCCGGGGGCGGCGCCGCGTCCCGGGCCCCCGCGGAAGCCCCGCCCGGCCGCGCTGTCACTCACCGCCCCGGGGAGACGCTCCAGCTTCGAGGAGGCGGTGGCGGCTCCGGGGCTCGGCCGGGCGGGTCCCCCTCGCACAGGTAGAGGCCTTGGCGGTGCGGCCAGGCCGGGCCACCCGGGACAGCACCGGGGACAGGTCCGAGCGAGGCGGCAGCGAGAGGGTTAACGGGGGGGGCGGGGAGCGGGGTGGCGAACCCGCTCCGCGCGATCCGCTCCGTGCTTTGCGGGTGGCCGCGCGGGCACCGGCGGGAACAGGGGCGCCCCGTTCCACCCCACGCCCCCCGCCGTGCGACCTCCCCCGCACCCCACCCTGCCCCGCCGGGGCCGCGGCCGCCGCCCGCACCCGGCTCCGCGCTACCCGCCCGCTCGGCCCCGCTCCGCCGTGTGGATCCGCCCCAGGTTTTCCAGCCTCCCGGCGCGGTCCGGGCTGTGGCGCCGATCCGGCGCCCGTGGTTCCGCTCCGGGTTTCCGCGGCCGCCGCCCGCGAGCGAGTCTCGCGAGCCCAGGCCCCGCCGCGGCCAATGGGAGCGCGTCCCTCGCTCCGCGCGGCCAATGGGGCGCCGCCGCCGCCCCCCCGTCGGGCTGCAGCGCGTTGAGGGCTCCGAGCGGCGCCTCCATTTAAAGGGGCCGCGACCCGAATCCGGGTTCTGGGTAGAGCGGGCGGCGCAGCACCGGGGGGAGCCAGGTACGAGCGGCGGCGGCCGCGGGCGCGTCCCGGCGGCGTCCCGGGAGACGCGGGTGAGGCCGCCTGGTGGAGGGGGGGCTGGCGCCTGGTGCGCGGGTATCGGGGGCGGGGGCTCCCCCGCGGTGGGGGGGTGGTGTGGCGGGGTGCGCGCGCCTGGCGGGAGGGGGCGTGGCCTGCGGCCCGCGAGGGGGCGTGTCCGGCGCCGCGCGCCCCCTGCCCGTGTCGGCCGCTGGGGGGCGCCCTGGGGCGGGTCCCGGGGGAGTCGGGGGGGGCCCTCGGCCCGTTTGGGGATCCGGGCTCTGCTCCCCCCGGGATGGGCGGGAACACACCTGCCTGGCCCCCATCCCCACCTCCGTGCAGCCCCGGCCCCGTGGACACCCAGGTGCCACCCTCGCCGTGGCGGCGGTCCGGCCTGTGGGACCCCCCCAGTGTGGGTGGGGACACCCTGGCTGAACCCCCGCCCCGGTGCGGATCGGACCTGTGCACAGGGTGGGGTGCGGGCCTGTGCGACCCTCGCCGTTTTTAGGAGGGGTCTGGCCTCTGCTACCCCCTGGGATGGGTGGGGAACCCACCAGCCTGGCCCCAACCCCAGTGCAGCCCCGGCCCCATGGAGGCTCCAGCGCGATCCTCACCTCTGTCGAGGGGGGTGGTCTCTGGGTCCCGCCGGGATGGATGGGGAGCCCCCAGCCTGACCCCCATCCCCACCCCGGTGCAGTGCAGACCCCGAGCACGGTGCAGGGAGGGAGACCCTGTGCGATCCTCACACCTTTTGTGGGCAAATGGACTCTGGGTTCTCCTAGTATGAACGGGGAGCCCACCAACCTGACCTCCATCCCTGCCCCAGTTCCATGGAGACCCCAGTGGCAACCCTTGCCCCTGTGTGTGAGGGTGGTCTCTGGGTCCCCCCAGTATGGATGGGGAGGGCCCAGATGAACCTCCATCCCCACTCTGGTACAGAGCAGACCCTGGGGATGGAGGGGCCCTGTGCAATCCTTGCCTCTTTTAGGGAAGGGTTTGGGCTCTGCATCCCTCTGGCATGGCTGGGGAGCCTCCGGCCTGACCCCCATCCCTGCCCCGGTGCTGGTGGGCACGGGGAGGTGCAAGGGGCAGCCCCCAGGGGATTCTGGGGCTTGGCTGTGCCTGGGCACAGGCTGGTCCCAGGGTTTGTGGTTCCTGGGAGCTGCCCCAGCCCCTGGTGTGCCCACCTCTGTGGGACCTGTCCTTGCTGTGGGGGCTATGCTGAGCAGTGGCAGCCATCAGCTGCCCCAAAGCTCTGCCCTGGCACCCACCATGGCTCAGCTCTCCCTGGGTCTCCAGGGACTCTGAGCGGCCTTTTTGCTCTTGTCACCACACATAGCAGCAAAGTCTGTGGTGCTCAAGGCAGCGGCTGCTCTGTGAACTGTCCAGCCATCCTGACAGCCTTCCCCCAGTGTCAGTGGAGGGTCTGGAGCCTCTCCAAGGCTCAGGGGGTGTGTATGTCCCTGGGCACCATGTGCTGCTGTCGAGGATCTGGCCCCATGAGAGGAAGGTGCAGCCCCGTGGGGCTGAAGCTGCCTTGGGCTGCCGGGGGAGGCAAAGTCCAAATGTGCTGAAGCCTCACCATGTGAGCAGCGTAGCCGTGGCCAACGAAGTGCCTTGGGGAGCATCAAGCAGCTCCTGTGTGGTTTGCAGCGGTGGAGGCAGGCCTGGCTGGCTGTGCCTGGCACGGGAAAAGGCTCTGGCAGTCGGATATGCTTGTGTGGGCAGAGGCTGGACGTGGCCTGTGTCAGGTGATGGTGGGAGGTAGGATTTTCAACAGAGTGCTGGGGAATGGCTCCTGGAGTCTCTTGATGAGGATGAGAGCTGCTTCATTTGTGCTCTCCCCTTCTCCTGCTGTGCTTCAGCCATGGCTTTTGTTCTAGGCTGTGACTTCTCTTCCTTTCATTGCGGCTGCAATCCCCAAGAAAACTTTTAATCTGCATTTTCTCCCCTAACCCTGCCTATTCTGGGATCAGAGCTGGTGATAAGACCATAGCCCTATTGTTATTGTGAGCTTAGCCTTATTAAAGGAATATCCACAGCCTACAGAGCTGAAATGACTAACCTGAACCTCGCAGCCCCATTGTGCATATTTCCACAACCTGTTTACACCCCTCTCAACTGCCAGTGCCCTTGCTTTGGAGGATGACAGCAGCACCTCATTCCTCCATGGCTCTGACAGCTGGAGCAAGGGCCCGAGGCTGAGCCCAGACCTCATTTTGGGAGCAAAGCCCCTGTGGGATTTCTTTATGGATGTTTTGTGGTCAGTGGTGCTGGGATTCATGACCCTAATGGACACAGATGTGCTGGCAGAAGCCTCTAATGCTTTAGAAAGGTTGTGGTGAAAGCAATCCGAGGGAAGTATGGAATAGGCTAAAGCTGTGACAGTGCATTTGTTAGCTTAGCAAAGGCCCTGCTAGCAGGATTTCACTGGATTGTTTCACTGTGTTGTAGTCTCAGTATAGCGTTTTTCTTCCTCTGCTGGCAGCACAGGTGAGGAAACGGTCTGAGACCCTCCTCGCCATTCCTGCTGGCCATGGGCTCTGTTGATGTCTCCTGGCCGCTTACTGTGAGCCTGCTCTGCTGGCCTAGACCTTGGCAGCTCAAAGGAAAAGGAGTCAGTCTCGGGACTGGTGAGACATTGCTCTGTTCAACACAGCATTAGCCAAGGCCAGCTGGTACAGCTGAACGTGAGGTGGAGTCTCCCAGCACTGAGATCCCTTTCCAGGGACTTGGTGGCAGGCACCTTGCAGAGGGGCAGAGGAGACAGCTCTCACTGTGCATCCAGTAGTTGGCTCTGCAAGACCACTGAAGGAAAATTAGATGTTTTGCCCTCAAAGATGCATCTTCTTGGTGACTCTGCCCTTTTGTCTTCTCTCTCTTCCCTGTGCACTAAGGTGTATTCACAGAACCACAGATGGATTTGGGTTGTAAGGGACTCTAGAAGTCTCAAGTCCAGCTGACCTCCTGCTCATGGCAGAGCTCACTTGAGACCGAGTTGTTCAGGGCTTTGTCCAGTTGAGTTTTGAGGACTTCCAGGGCCAGGAAGTCCATGGCCTGTTCCTAGGCTGTGGCATTTTCCTTTGGAGAGCCACCTGCTGTGCCTGCAGCTTCTCTCTCCAGCTGTCTGTAGCTGCTTGTGTGATGTGCTAGGACTTTGTGTCAGGTCATCTATGTCCTGCAGCATTTGGGCAACAGGTAGAGAGATCTGGGGGCCATCTGTTTTTTACCACTTCCAGGTCTTTTATTTCTTTTAATCAGTGTCTCAATATTCCTAGGGCAGTTTCAACATACTCTGCTCAGGAATGCAGTACACCTCCAAGCCTTTTTTGTTGTGCTTGAGATAGTACTGCCAAAGCTTTTTTACGCTCTCACCCCCTTCTCCTGCATTTAATGCTATTTTGGCAGATGTTGTCATGTGGTGAGGGGTGAGCCTTGAAAGAAACATTGCTTATTCATGCTATAGACACAAAGCTGGTCCTTGAAGCTGAATTGCTCTGCAGATACCAGGCGTTGCTGCTGTGCGTGTACCTGGATTGTTACTCCTTTCTCTGTTGCAAAGCCTTGACACTTTGTGCTTGGGGGAATCCTGGTCTTACAAGAGGATATGAGAGGATCCAAGCAGCTTCAAACTGCTGCCAGGATGGCATTCTGGATGGATGAGCACACTCCTGTTGGTTGTCTTAGAGTTTGCTGCCAGTACGGAGGTCTTGGCTTAGCGGCAAGTACCTCTGAGATTGAGGAATGTTGTCAGGTACGTTTGAAGTGTGGCAGGGAGTCTCCTTGTAAACCTAATTCCAGGCAATTCTTGCAAGATTTCTGAAATTTGTCCTTCTTGCACTTTCTTGAAGCTGAGGTGAAGTTTCTGGAATGCAAGCTCAAAATCTAGTTTGGTCATTCCTGCCTCTGAGGAGACTTGTGGTTGCTGTTCTGCAGCACCATCTCCTCTGTGCTGGAGGATTTGGGCTTTCTGGGTTCTGGGTGATTGCTGTACTGTGTTTGAGGCTTGCAGTGTGAGCTGGTACTCCTGCTCTGGCAAAGGTAGTGGTGGTCTTGGTCCCTTCTGGCTTTGTGGGACTGTTAGAAAACAGTTGCTGGAGTCTTGAGGCTGCTGGTGATGTTCTGGGAAAGCCCTTATTTTCCCCATATGCCAGTTCCTATTGTGTAGACAGTGCCAGGCACACGTGAAGGCTGGCCTGGAGGGGACATGGTGACAGCAGTCTAATTAGGAACCAATAGTACATTTGGAGATGAGACAACTGTTCACTGAGCCCTGCCTGCAGACCACAGGCTGAAGGACTTGACCAGTGACATCCTGCAGTAGCTAAAGCTGGCTTGGAGAGAGTCACTGAATGCTGTTGTAAACCCTCCAAGTCACAGAGGGCTTACAGATCCTGGGGTCAGTTGTTTAAGCATCTGTTTCTGAGTTTGTCCAACTTTGATTTCCAGCTTCTTGAGTCCTCATACGGTGCATTTGTCATCTCTGAAGGGTCCTCTGCTGTAGATCTTCTTACCTTGTGATTTTTTTTGAGATGGGTCATGTCTCCCCATTTCTTTTCAGTGAACAAAATAGTTTATTACTGGAAGGTGTTTTCTGAGCCCTGGTTGATTGATAAAGCACTGGGATTCTTGCATTACTGTTCAGATTAAAAAAAAATATTTTAAACATCTCAGCTCTTCCAATAACTGTCATCAAGTGTAGACAGTAGCCAAGAATGAGACAGTAATGGTCTAACATGGTCGTGTGTGCAAGTAGCACTGTACTGAATGTCAACAGTGGGTTTTGTGCTCTTGAAGGCTGAATTTGGGCTGCAGGGTAAGAGCTCAGAGAGCTACCTCTCCAAAACCAAAATCCTTTCTGCTCCTTTCTGGAGAATTTGGACTGGACTGAAACCTTGTCCTCAGCAGTGTCCTTAGTTTAATGGCAATTCTTCATAAATCCATTTGCTTTAAGATGAGTTGAACAATCTGTAATAAAGGTTTGCAGTGCTTGAATTTAGAAAGCTGTCAACTGCCCACATAAACTCAGCTAAGTCACAGCAGTGAAGTTGGCTTTTGCCATATTTGTCACTCAAGGTGTAATATTGTTAATGAAGATATGTTGACCATGCTGGTAGGACATGATATTATTTCCTTAATGTTTTATTGGTAGAATAAAACATTTATTGTATTGACACTGTTGGGGCTTTTTGAGAAATACTAGGTTGAGTGTTACTGTTTATTCAAAAATGTGGCACAAAACATAGGGCTTCCTGAAGAGCTCTGCTCAGGTCTTACAGAGCTCATAGGTAGGAAGTGGCTGAAATGTTAATATAAGCATCTTAATTTTTGTAGTTATTAGTTAATTCTTTTCATATTTCACATGATCTCTAATAGTGAAAAAGATAAATCCTTCAACCTTCAAAAGGATTGAAAATCTGAATCCATATCCATGAACGAAAGTCGAGGACAGGTCCCCAAGCAGTTGCTGTTCCTTTACTAGAGGAAAGCAGTAACTGCATGGCTGTGCTTTTTTTTTGTGGGGAGTAAAGACTTCTGAGATATTCACTTCATTGTGAGGGAGTGGCAACAGTATTTTTTCTAGCAGTCTGGTTTTAATTAAGTGTTTGATGGTAGATCCACATTTGTATAGGCAGGCCACGTGTTCCCTTGCTAATAGTTACCCGAGGACACTGAAGATCTGTGCAGTTCCACCTCCACTGATGTCTTTAATAAACTGAATGAAGTCCCAGGTAGTCACTTGGTGTGCTCGGGTGTCCTGGCAGAGATGTCACACCCTGAGCTGCCATGTCTGGGAGGAGATCCACGTGCCCCCTCTTTGGCAGAAAGGGCAGGGCAGGTCTGGTAATCACTGGATTTGGCAGTCAGTGTTGTGTTCTGTCCCAGTCCTGCACGCTCGGGGAGGACTCTCAGCCATCCCATCACTTCTTTGGAAACTCTTGCACGCTCCTTGGGAAGCAGTGTGCTGCAGGCTGGTGTGCAAGGGACTTTGCTCCTTGAACTTATTCTCTTCCCAAGGATATATCTGTTACTGAATACTCCAGAGAGGTGCTGAGTGCTAAGTAAGGAGTTTCCAAATGACCAGTGGAGCGGTCGTATCTGCTGTAACGTGCAGGATTTCAGCACACTGCCTCCTCTTTGTTTGACCAAGTCGTGCTCCAGTGTACTCTCCTCACTGCCAGGTATGTGGCTGGAAAAGAGGAAGATTTCAAGCAGACCAGTGAGCAAATCCCAGTGACTGAGCTGGTCCTGGAATAAAAAAGATGATGACTTGTGGTGGATCATTTCAGCATCTGCCAAAAACAATAAGCTGTTCTGCTTCTGTTGTAGAAAGTGAGAAAAGACTTTACCAGAAGAAAAGTGCACGCTCCGTTTGCAGCTTAACTCACTGTGAAGCTCAGCAGAAAGCCCAGATGAATCTGAGTGCCCGGGGCAGACAGAAGTAGAGCTTCTTACCTTGCTGCAGCTGAGCAGCTCTAATTTCTTTAGGTTGAGTTTGACTTCAGAGCAACTCACAGAACTGGAAAGCATCATTTTCTCCTGTTCTGAGGGCCACCCTCTTCATCCTCATCCACTAGTAGTTGAAAGCCATTGTAAAGAATTCATTGTCAGAGACATTCCTTGCTTTCCCACTCAGACTGTCAGCATCGTGTTGGGTCCAGCTTCAATTCTTAACTCCATCAGCTTTTCCAGATTCTCATAAATACACCAAGGGTTAGCATTCATGTACCCTGTAACCCCTTGGAGCTCTGCTGCAGCAGGTTGAAAACAAACAGAAGGAAAATACTTTTAAAAACTAAATGTTAAGCTGCAGAAAATAGAGCCACTGGAATTTCTGGAGTATAAGTTGGTTCAAAGTGGGATTAGGCAGACTCACAGAGGATTTGCCCAGTACAGACTCTTAACAGTGACATTGTCAGTGCAACTCAAGCCGAGTGGTTCTTCAGCAGCTGAGTCCTGCCTGATCAGAGGATAAGCTGAAGAGGAACATCCTTTTAGTTATGTTTCTTATACTCTCTCCTCAGGTGTCCATTCTTGGTGTGAATAGGAACAGGATACTCGAGTACGTGGTCCTTTCGTTGGACTGACTGCAGTAGTCCTTAGCTTTGCACGTCCCAAGAGGAGGTTTTGGGTCCTTCACCAGAAGGTGTGAGCTGTTCTGCTGGGAGGATTCTGATGAAAGGGGACAGCACCTCGAACACACGGGCGAGCTCAGGGCTTCCAACCAGAGTGTGCAAGTGAGTGGTCTTAGAGCAGAGTCTGGGGTCTGCAGAAAGGTCTGCCTGTCCCAGCCACATACCAATAGTTTGGAATTGCCGTAATCTGCAGAATACTTGTTCTCTTTAAGATTTTTGTTGGTCAGTGATGTCGCCATTAATGTCAGAGTTTTGTCTTTGCATTGTAATGCCCAGAGCTTGAAAGCAGTGTTAATGTGTGCACTGCTGAAAGCAGATGCCTTTGGTCTACTTGTAGAACGCAAATTGCATGGCACGTTCACAGATTAATTGTTGCTTGCATTATCCTCTGGAAGGGAATGCCCAAATGGATTTCTTATGTCCAGATTTGTTTCCAGGATCTGTTTCTACCAAGCAAAGCCTAGGCCAGCTGAATGTGGCAAATACTGTAGGAGAGTCAGCTTAGTGGTTCATTGCAGGCTCATACAAAGTGTCTGAGGTGATTTTGAGGAGTATGTTAGCCTTATTAGGTATACCTATAAATAAACTTTCCTTATTCGTCTGGGTGGCTTGTCATGTTTTTGCTTATTGTTGTAGGGTCTGCTGTCTGTCTGGGGGACATCTTTGAGCAGGAGGCATTGTTTGTATTCTGAGCAGCAGGAAAAAAATGTGTTTATCATCTTGGGAGGGTTCTCATTTGCTTCAAATCCCTAGGACCTTTCTTTCAGATGTCTTTGTTTCTATTTCACTTTGTTCTTCTTTCTGTCAGCCACCCTAAAACACGTATTAGATCTTGTAATGCTCTGGAATTATTCTAGAAGCTTTGTCTCCTCTTGTAACTAAAAGTAAACAGAATCACCAAAGTCTTTAGTGATGAAACTTGCTGGGCATCTCAGAAGATTACATTTCCTGTGGTTTATGTTCATGATTGTGGGAACAGTGCTTATCTGCCACCGGGAAACAGAAAACTTCACTGCGTTTTAAGATAAAATAAGGAAGCAGTGGCTTTGAAATCCAGATGTTTGGTATGATTTCACTAAACTCCTGCTTGAGTGAGGTTCAGAAGTTGGGTACATTCTTTGTCTGAATATGTCCTGTTTAGTTCTGAGCAAACCATTTGTGAGTGAGACTTGGTTATCATTTCAGAACAAAGGATATGAAGAAAGAATTAAACAGCTATCACCAGTGAAATTATTTCAGGCTTCCTCCTTCATTGATATAGATGAGTTATGCTCATAGTAAACCCCAGTTGACAGCAATACTGGATTTCTGGTTCAGGGCTTAAAACAGTGCCAAATTTAGAATTAGAATTGCTCTGATAGGGAGGGGTAGGTTGGTGCCACATCTTTTGATTCTAGTGCCTTTCTTGTAGTGTCTACCTACAGCCTGTTTTGGGGACGTGATGCTACTTGAAGTCTTACTCTGCCTTACCACTTGTAGACTGCAGCTCCTACTCCCTTTCCCTCTTCAGGTTTGTCAACCATTCTCTCTTTGTGGGGGTATAATTCATTTTTAGACAATATTACTTGTCTCATCTCAAAGCCTTGACCTTTCTGTCTTGTGATAATGCCGAGCATGAGGAGCTGGGCTGTAACTTTCCCTCTGAGGCTGGCAGTCTGCACCACACCTTCCTGCTCAAGAGCACTGTCTGTGCCCTGCAAAGTCACACTGGTCTTTTTTCCTGACTCTGCATTGCGTGCTTGTGTCTACCTTGCTACTTGTTCTTCTTCTTACGACTGCTTTTAATGTCAGACTTTCTTCTTGCCACTCTCCAGAACTCCTCCCCGTTCTAACTTAAGCTTTTCCAATTGTTCTGTGTCTGAATATTAGCCCACGTAGTTTTGGGGCTATGCAGTAGCTGTAGTTACACTGTAACATTGTTTTTATCTGTCCTCTGGCAAAATTAATGCATCTTGTCATCCTCTATCTTGTTAAGGCTATGGGGCTTTATTTCTACCTCTATTTAAGAGAGGTTTAAGAGCAAAGGTATTTTAAAACTAAAAGATGTGTTAGCTCCATGGGAACAGATCAAGAGAAAGGACATACCAGATTATTTGGATAGAGAGGAAGGCGAGGATGGAGATATCAGACACCACAGAACAGCTGTGTGGAGCCTCCTGAATTGGTACTCAAGTAATTTCTGATACCCCCCTGTATCACTGAGCATAAAGAAGTCTGTTTGCCGTGCTCTGGTGAGGTGTGTGAGGGCTGTAGAGTTCCCCAAAGTCTGCTATACTGGACTGCTGCATCCTGCTGCTGCTGTTTGGCTTTAGATTTTTGTACTCTCACAAGCAGAAGTGACCTGCTAGTGTCTGGTATCCTGGTTGTGCCTGGCAGCATTCCTGGGCCTTGTCTCACTCCAGCCGTGTTCAGAACAGTGGACAGTTCACGTGCTGTTTTAGACTGCTTTTCATTAACTTGCGAGTCTTTCTCTCATTTCCAGTTGCCATCTTCTAAATGGATTCCAGTGAATTTTCGGGATCTATGGACCCCCTGTCCTTGCCTGACAAACCACTTATTGGAGATCTCCCTGCTGACATGGAGTTTGGTGAAGATCTCCTGGGCTCCCAAACAGCTTCCACCCAGGAAGCTTCAGTTCTTCAGCCCCCTGGCTGGGATCAATCCAAGCAGATGACTGCAGATGGGGACTTGGACCTTCTAGTGAAAGCAGACAGCCTGTCTGAACTAAATAAATCAAATGACCATGTTCTAGATAAACCTAATGTCTTGGATATGCTGGAGAAACCTGATGTCTTAGATGACTTGGATAAAACTGCTGACTTGATGGAGCAGGATAAACCTGAGGGTCTGGATGGGCTACGTAAGGCACATCCTTCCCGGGACGTGGAGGATGGACCATCAGACTCCTCTGCCCTTTCTAGAGAAGCCCTTGTTCCAGAAACATGGAAAGAAGGGGAGGATGCACCAAAAAATTGTTCTGGGGACCTAAAGGAAGACGGTGCTGCTGCTATTCCTGCACTACCTGGTGACAAGGCCCCTGAATCACCTCGAAAACCCATTCCTGACTCTGGGAACCTCAGCAGTGCCCCAGCCACGGAAGAAACCACAGCACAGTCCTCAAGTCCAGCAATGCCCCCACCCCAGCTCAGTCTTAAACAGACAAAGAAGATGAAGTTGAAAGCACCAAGGAAAAGCTCACCCCTGCAGAGGGAAGGGCTGGCAGGGGAAGCAGAGGTGGAACCGGTCCCAGACAGCAGAACTGCAGCTTTGCCCCCTGAGCCTATGGAGGAAAACCGGGCAGAGGGAGGGGATGATAGTGGGAAAAACTCGCTTAAAGAAAATAGTGTACTCAAAGCACAGGAAGCCTCAGCACCAGCAGGTAAGTTGTTGGCTCAGCAGAACTTGGCTTCCTTTTGCTCAGGAGCTCATCCAGCTGCAGGTTGCTGAGGCTGGAGTCTCTTCTGCACTCCAGCTTTTCCCATCATCCCCTGCTATGGAAACTGTGAATGGTACTGATGGTCTAGGTTTGGGCAAAGCTTCTTGCATACAGGGAATAGTGCTCTGGTGCACACAAGCTCTTGCTCAGGCTTTCATGGCTTTAGCTGATTATCAGTGCTTGTGTCAGCCCAGGAGCTTCCCTGATGAAACTGTGGCATCAGCTTAGCTCACACTCTTCATGACTGGAGTCTTTGCTGGAACTGAGGGTCATCAGGAGGTGTTTCCAATAGGCAAAGTTCCTCTGCCCAGGCTGACCATCCCCAGGAGATGCTCAGTCTTGGTTCAGAAGCAGTTGGAGGTAACTGCCCACCCAGCCTGCCTCCCCCACACAGGGAGGTCTCCCCCTCAAGGGCTCCTCCCAAGCTGCATGTTTGGATCTCCAACCACAGATGGTGGATTTAGGAGCTTTCCTGTGTCTGATCACCACCAGAATTGTGCTTGATAGCCAGGGCTGACCCAAATGGTGACTGCGTTTGGAGAACACCTGTGGTCTTCTGTTGGAGAAAAGCAAGATGTTAGATGACAGCTTTTTCTGTGCTTCTGTTCCAGGAGAAAGCCTGTCTGGGAAGGGGAGCGAGCTTCCAGCTGAGAAGGTGAGGACAATGCAGTCAAATATGTATGGTACAGGAGCATAGAGCGTGGCTGGCTGTTGTCAGACTCTGTGAGGGACACTGGCTGCCTCATCACCCCTCTGGGAAGGAGTTTGCATGACTCCTGTGATGGAGTGATCCCTGTGCACTGCCACTGTGCTGTAATGTGGCTTCAGCATGTCCCTGCTACCCACAGCTGAAATGTTATTCTCATAAGCCTACTTTCCCCTCTCCTCTGTCTTGCCAACTCTGGTCAGGTATCCATGGAGTTTTATCCGTTTTCAGCCTAGCTGTTGGGAAAGCAAATCCCAGAGGTTGGAACTCCACCGTGATCTGGGATATTTATCCATGGTTTTCCTAGCAGATAGTTAGCCTAAATATTTTCTGAATGTCTTCTAGGAGCAGAAAAGAAGTGAACGACCCAGAAGATCAGAAACTGCCAGACCTGAAACTGTGAACTCCTCTGAGAGTAGTAAGTAACTAGGGTTGGTCAATGCCTGTTTTCAGCCTGAGAGAAGGGCCCAGATCCATTGGGGGCAGGTGGTTCATGGTGTGAGTACACTGGGAACTCTGGAGCTTCTGGGCAGACTTCCCTTCTACACTGGACAGGTCTTTTCACCCCCCCAATCTTCATCCTCGGGTACTTGCCTTGCTTTCTTAGGGCACTTAGGTCAAAGCAGGCAGTGTTGTCTTATTTTTACAGTGGTTTGTGGACACCGAGCTCTAAGTAATAGCACGAGACTCAGGGGTTGTTCCCAGGAAACGCATCTTCCATCTCCTCAGCCAGGAACTTTCTTCCTTTGTCTCTGGCAGCAGGCTGTCTGAAGGAAGGTTGTGTCTTGGGGATTTTCCTGCAGAAGCGCATGAAGTCTCTGAGGTGTTGAGTGTCACCCTGCCATTCCCTAGCATTTGTGTGTTGCTCTTTTATTGCCTGCCTGTGCTGTTCCTTTAAGGTCTGCTGGCTCTTGGAGGGTTTTCTGCTATAAAAGTTCACACTTTGGGCTTCTGCTCAACCTTGACATATCATGACTTCCTAAAGAGGAATTGTTCTTAAGCCCAGTTTGCTTAAAGACCTCTTGATTCATCTCCAGTTCCAACAGACTTTCTTTGAAGGGTCCCTTTATCATTCCACACAGACAGGTACAAAGTACGTAGAGGGGCTCCAGAAAGGTGACCCAGAAAGTCCCAGCATGTGTCTCATGGCAGAGTTTCTCAGTCCCTAATGAGGGATTTCTGTGCCTCTTCCTCTGCTGCTTTGCAGTTCCAGTGTCTGACGAAGACTCTGATGCAATGGTGGATGATCCCAACGACGAGGATTTCGTTCCTTTCCGCACGCGGCGCTCGACCCGCATGTCCCTGCGCACCCAGATGGCCCAGCGAGCCGCCCGCTCCACCTTCACCAAGATGACCTGTGCCAACTGCAGGACCCCCCTGCAGAAGGGCCAAACCGCCTACCAGCGCAAAGGGCTTCCTCAGCTCTTCTGCTCCAGCTCCTGCCTCACCACCTTCTCAAAAAAACCACCTGGCAAGAAGATATGCACCTTCTGCAAAAAGTGTGTGTTCATTCCCCTTTCCTCAGTGCTCCCATGCTCGTGACCCCGTTCACCTGCTCCACAGCTCTGCCTGCCAGTCCCCTTCCTATGGCCCTTATTCAGCCACATGCCCACTGCCATGTCTTCCTTCACACACTTCCCTACACCTCCTTCACATTATTGCCATTCCCTGCCTGTCCCCAGACTCAATGCCCCGTATTCCAGCCTCCTCTCAAAACAACCTCCTGCATGCTCCGTCTTCAGACACCACTCCTCTGGGCCAGGACAGAAGCTGCTGTGAGACAGTTCTTGCCAACTTTTTGAGACCAGAAAGTCCTGTGCGTTGCAGTGGGCCATCCTATCCCTTTGTGGCAGGACTCAAGTGTCCCTGCACTAACACATCCCCTCCTGATCCCCAGGGAGATCTGGAACACCAAGGACTCTGTGGTTGCCCAGATTGGTTCAGGTGGCTCTTTCCACGAGTTCTGCACCTCTGTCTGCCTTTCCCTCTACGAGGCCCAGCAGCACAGACCAGCACCTCAGTCTGCAGATGCCTCGGACACCAGCCGCTGCAGTGTTTGCCACAAACCTGGCGAGGTAAATAAATCCCTTGTCCTTCCCATGGCCTGGACGAGGTGCTTGGGACCTGCAGCATTTGGCCCTGCCTGGGACCAGGGCATTTGCCAGGTTTTCCTGTGGTGTGAGGCTTCAGCCCCTGAGCTGTCTTGGGCTCACTCCCAGGTCTTTTTGTGTTACTGTAAACCAGCCCTTATTTTAGCAGAAGGAAGGAGGCTTCTGCTTCTCCCCACCCTGAAGCTCACTGCTTCCTACCACTCTGCTCTCCCAGTTGCTCCACTGACTTTTGGCAAGGGAGGCCACCCTGAGTCCACACCAGCTTCCAGTATGGCATTTGCCCAAGTCTCAGCCTGTTATCCCAAGGGCTGTGGCAGCAGTGGTACAGCTGCATTGGAAGGAGGCCCCTGATGGTTTGGGGAGTGACAGAAATGATGTCTCTGCAGATCCAGCACGAGGTCAGCAACGGGAGCGTGGTTCACCGCATCTGCAGTGACGCCTGCTTCACCAAGTTCCGGGCCACCAAGGGGCTGAAGACAAACTGCTGTGACAACTGTGGACTTTATATCTACAACAAGGGCTTGCCCCTGGAGTACCTCTTCCACGAAGGCCAGCAAAAACGGTTTTGCAACTCTACGTGTCTCAACAGTTACAAGAAGGTGTGTGGATCAGCTGCCTGGAGGGGGGGGGTCTCTGTGGGCACACAGCTCCCTAGCTTGGTGTGGCACAGGGAACTTTATGCAATGACAGGTGATTCAAATCCCCTTGGTCTTTTATTGCTGACAAAGCATTTAAAAGATTTCTGTGGAGAAACTTTGAAGCAGGCAAACAGAATGAATTTATTCTGCATGAGGCCCATCTTGGACCCAGGGATGGGTCAGGCAGTCAATAAGCTGGACTGTACAGTGACACTGGTATATACAGTTAGCATGATTCTGTTGGATATGTTCTTCTGTGACCTGAGCAGGCTTCACTTAACTGTCTCAATGGGATTGCCAAGCTCTGTATTCCTGCCAGGCTACCCTTAAAATGAGAAACTGAAGTGCCAAAGGCAGCCTTTTTTGCTACCACCACCTGAACCTGCAGACTATGAGCCTGGTTCTGGCATCAGGTGGTCACTGCAGGAGAGCAGTCCTGTGGTGGATACAAAAGTGGGTTGGGATGTGAGGGTCAGACCTTGCTGGCTGTGCTGGTCTCCCTGGCAGCTCTGTTTTGCTCTGTGCTTGCAGAAGAACACCCGGGTCTACCCCTGCATGTGGTGCAAGACGCTGTGCAAGAACTTTGACATGCTGCCCAATGTGGATCGCAGTGGCAAGATGGGCCTGTTCTGCTCCATTTGCTGCACTACCTCCCACAAAGTGAAGCAGTCAGGCTTAGTCGGTAAGAGCACCTACACAGAGGGAATCAGTCACCTCTCCACTCTAACTCCTTCCTTAGCTTTATTTATTGCTTGTGGATGGGACTGAAAAGAAGATGTGTTGCTTGCCTGGGGAGGAATCCAGTGAGACCAGGGAAAGGAGATGTGGATACGGAGGAACCCTCGCAGAATGCAAACATCTTAATATGGAGGGTAGTGTACATTGCTGTTCTTGAGAATGCAGGGAGCAGCTGTAGTGCTGGGCTGTGCTGGCATTGCCCTTTCTGTTACATGGAGTACCAGGGCGTCCAGGAATGGGTGTGGTCTCTGGTGCAAGTATTGCAACGTATTTTGTCCAATGTCCTATAGAGACAGGGTCACTCCCTTGAACCCCTTGCTCTCCATCTCTGTTTAACATTTCTGTCCTAGCAGAATCCAGTGCTCTTGGTTTCCTGGTGTTCTTGTCCCTTGCCTTTTGATAATAGCTTGTCAGACTGAGGATGAGTGAGTAGCTTGTGTGCCATCCTCAGAATCCAGTCTCACGTGGTTTGCTGCTACCCTCACCAATTCCTCTCTGTTTCATCAGGTCCCCCTAGACCCTGCAGCTTCTGCAGAAAGAGCTTATCTGAACCCTGCTATTACAACAAGACAGACCGGGTTGTCTACCAGTTCTGCAGTCCCAGCTGCTGGACCAAATTCCAGGTACTGAAGTATCCTTCATGCTGGGCTGGGCCACGGAGCTCATGCCTCCTTTCACACTTAGCAGAGGCTCCACCTTCCTTGAGCTCCTCAGGGAGGGTTCCTAAGAAAGTCTCTGTGGAACACAAGAGTTGCAGTGACCGTAATTGCTCATATCTCAGTCTTGGCCCTATCATCCCCTTCCTCCACTGGGATAAGGCAGGCTGTAATTCACTCCTGTCTGTCAGGTTATGCCCAGTGGAAGGGCAGTGCAGAGCTGTGCTGCATGAGTGGTTTGGGATGCAGTGGCCTTACAAGAGCATGAGCAAAAGCACAAGTAAGTCAGCAAAGCACGGTACACACCTGCTAGCTGGGTGGAAAGGGGCAGAGCTCCCCTCTGAGTCAGGTGTCACCAAGAAATATAAGCCTTCTAGAATGTATTGTCTAAAAACTTAGAGCTAACAGGCCTGGATACCTCATGTTTGATAATCCTCGAAGGCTTGACTAGCGGTTTTTAATCTTCTGACATTAAGTTTCAGCATGTGTGAAATGTTTGTGGTATTCATAGGCAACTTGAAGGTTATTAGTTTTGTACAGTTGTCAAAGAACAGAGTAACAGCCAGGAAGACCTGGGAAACTTAGGCCAGGACGTGCGAAGTGCAACTGAGAAAACGTAGAGAATCTAGAGGTAAGAGGTAGTTACTGGCAGTTGCAGCATTTGGTTTTTGGATTTTTTTTTTTTAATTGGTTGTGGGGTTTTTTTAATCGATTGGGGGGGCAGGGTTTTTTTATTGTTATTGTTTTTGTTTGGGGTTTTTTTCATTGGGGTTTTTTGGTGTTCTTTGATGTAATCCTTCACTGAGATCACAAATAGTCTGGGTAGCGTAACTGTAGAGTTTTTGCAGTTGTAGACTTCACGAGACTAGAATTATAGAACAGTTTCAGTTGAAAGAGACCTTTAAATGTCATCTAGTCCAGCCTCTGCAGTGAGCAGGTACATCTTCAACTAGGTCAGGTTCCTTAGAGCCCTGTCCAACCTGACCTTTGAATATTTATAAGGATGGGGCATCTACCACCTCTCTGGGCAACCTGTGCCAGTGTTTCACCATCCTCATTGTGAAAAACTTCTTTTTAGCTAATCTAAATCTACTTTCTTTTAGTTTAAAACTATTACCCCTTGTGCTATCACAACAGGCTCTGCTAAAATGTGTGTCCTCTGATATCTTTCTTTTAAGTATTGAAAGGCTACAATAAGGTCTCCCCAGAGTGTTCTCTTCTCCAGGCTGAATAATCTCAAATTCCTCAGCCTTTCTTGACAGAAGAGCTGTTCCAGCCCTCTGGTCGTTTTCGTGGCCTCCTCTGGACTCACTCCCAACAGGTCCATGTCCTTCCTGTGCTGGGGACCCCAGACCTGGAGGCAGCTCTGCAGGTGGGGCCTCACCAGGGTGGAGGAGGCAGAGAGTCACCTCCCTAGACCTGCTGGTCGTGCTTCTTTTTGGGCAGCCCAGGGTACAGTTGGCTCCCTGGGCTGTGAGCTCATGTTGCCAGCTCATGTCCAGCCTCTCATCCACCAGCACCCCCAAATCCTTCTTGGCAGGGCTGCTCTTGATCTGTTCATCCCCCATCCTGTACTGATACTGGGGGTTGCCCCAACCCAGGTGCAGCACCTTGCACTTGACCTGGTTGAACCTCAAGCTTGTCAAGGTCTCTCTGGATGTCACTCTGTCCCTCAGGCTTGTCAACTGCATGACTCAGCTTGGTGTCATCTGCAAACTTCCTGAGGGTTCTCTCAATCCACTATGTCATTGATGAAGATATTAAACAGGACTGGTCCCAGTATGAATCCCTGAGGGACACCACTTGTCACTGATCTCCATCTGGACACTGAACCATTGACCACTACCTTCTGTGCAACCATCCAGCCAATTCCTCATCCAGTCCACCCAGCAAATCCGTCTCTCTCCAATTTAGAGAGAAGGATGTTGTGGGGGAGTGTGTCAAAGGCCTTACAGAGGTCCAGAAATGGTGGCATCCATAACTCTGCTTCTCCACTGATGTAGTCACTCCACTGAGGAACTAGGTTAGTCAGGCAGGACTTGCCCTTGGTGAAGCCGTGCTGGCTGTCTTGAATCACCTTCCTGTTCTCCATGTGCCTTTGCACAGCTTCCAGAAGGATCTGTTCCATGATCCTCCCAGGCACAGTGGTGAGGCTGACAGGTTCGTGGTTCCCAGGGTGCTCCTTTCTGCCCAGTTTAGAAATGGTTGCAATGTTTCCCTTTTTCCAGTTACCTGAGACTTCACCCAGTCATGTAACTTGAATTATTGCCATGTAAAACCAGCATTGGACCATATGAGTAAACCAAGGCATAACCTGGATTAGGAACTGTCTTGCTGGCAGATCTCAGAACACACTTGTCAAACTAAAACAGCTGAAGAGAATGTTTCAAGATGGTTTCTTGGGGATCAGTATTAAGCTTGGCTTAATACCGATCAATGGAGTTCAATGTTTTCATCAGTCATTTGGCAATAAAGTCAAAGTAAGCATAATAAAATGTTGCAGATGAAACGAAAACTGGTGACCTGAGCCCATGCTGAAGCCAGGGCAGTCACAGAAAGCAAAGAAATTGGATTGATTGACAAGGCTGGTTCCTCCTAATCTGTGCTTAAATACACTTCAGTGTAAGATCCTGTGTCAGCCTTTCTCAAGTAGTGTGGGGATGCAAGTCCTGGGAAAGTAAGGATTTTGAAAAGACCTTGGGATTACAGCAGATAAACTGTTCGGTATGAGTGTCTCAGTTTACAGCCACAGAGGGAAGGATTAATTAAGTTCTTGCAAGCAGAAGCAGAAGAACATGGAGTTAAAGTTTGAGGACTAGGGAGCAAAAGAGCTACCTAGAATGTTGGACAGATAGGAAATATTTTCCAATGTCCGCTTTATTTTCAATATTGCAGAAAACTTGGAAGTATCCTGAAAAAAAAACCAACATAAAAATTACATTTGGGCTTGAAAAATGCTTGTACTGAGGCACTTGCAGAATGCCTTATCTGAGGTTATCAGAAAGAAAACCAGGAAGATGACTTTATTAATAAATAGATCCTTATGGATGAGACACTAAATGCTAAATGGCTATTTAATCTAGCAGAAGGTGGAATGAGAAGGCTGCTTGAATTCTGAAACTCCATTACCTTGAAAATAGAAACCAAGCAGCTGCGCTTCAGGAACTTTTAGAGAAGAAGTTGCAGAGCCCCCATCCCTTGATGTTTTCAAATCCAGTGGGGTGGCAGCTTGAAAGCTTGCCTTCCTGAGAAGAGCTGGACCCAGCACATTGGAAGCAAAGTGAAATTGCTGTCAAGAATCTGCTCTCCAGGAGCTTGAGATATGATCTGGTGGACTGACTGAGTCACCAATGGTGGCATCAGGTCTGAGTGGGGCTGGGTGGGCTGCTTGTGACTGTGGAGGAGACAGGCAGTGGTGGCAGTGAGAATCAGATGTCCACTGCCCTCCATGTGCCTCTCCCTCCATGAGCTGTCTCTTCTCCTGCAGCGCACCAGCCCGGAAGGTGGGATCCACCTCAACTGCCATTACTGCCACAATCTTTTCAGCGGGAAGCCAGAGATCCTAGACTGGCAGGTGAGGACTTTCCCCGGGGGGAATATTGAGTTGGAGGCCAACACTGGTGAGAGCTGCAGGGCTCCTTCATCTCTCTCTGCTCAAAGCAGAGCTCCTCCTGTGCCAGTTCTCTGAAAGCCTTGGCTGCAGAGACATGCCTGGAGACTGTGCCGAGTGCCGCACTCCTGGAATTCAGCGGGATGTCGGAAGGGCAGGAGGAGACCACTTCTGCCAAACCCTGTGCCAGGAGAACTGGGGAGTTGACTCAGCCCTGTAGTCTTCTCCTGCTTCCTTGAGAAGTGTGGGAACCTCCTGGCAGCCTGGCTGACCTGGCAGCGGTCTCTTTGGCAGGACAAGGTGTATCAGTTCTGCTGCAAGGACTGCTGCGAGGACTTCAAGCGGCTGCGTGGGGTGGTGTCCCAGTGTGAGCACTGCAAGCAGGAGAAGCTGCTGCATGAGAAGATCCGTTTCTCTGGAGTGGAGAAGAACTTCTGCAGCGAAGGTACTTGGGGAAGGCATGGGAAAGGCAGAGCCCCCATGCCAGCCCATGCTGGGGGAGGAGAAGAGAGCATGGAGAGGAGCAGAGGGGAGATTGTCTTAGCCAGGCCCTGGGGCAAGAGCCTTGCCGTGCAGTGAAGGGAGGACTGTTGTGGGGATGGCTTGCTGTCCAGCCAGGCCCTAGGGCTAGATCTTTACCGTTCATTGTGTCCTTGGGGAGGGCCTTCTCACAGCTTTTCTCTCTCTGGGGGCTGGGGAGACAGCAGGTGGCAGCTCCGCTCCTCCTGTCATCATGCACTTCTACGCTCTTGCGTCTGGGCTGGCCTGACCTGGCCTTGCCCTGCCTGCTGGGTTCCTGCACACAGGAGGTTGGAGTCAGACTCTTCCTAGAAGCATGGAGGTGAGAGATGGCAAGTCCCCATGAGGTCCCATCTTATCCCAGCCCCAGGGGCCAGTGCTGGATTGTTCCCTACAGTGTGTTGCGTGTGCTCTGTTGTCTCCGCAGACCTGGATTTTGGTCATGTTTGGGTCAGGGAGGCCCCCAGTTCATCCTGGGAAGGTTTCACTCCTATTGTTTCTCCGCAGGGTGTGTGCTTCTTTACAAACAGGATTTCACCAAGAACCTGGGCCTGTGCTGCATCACCTGCACCTACTGTTCTCAGACCTGCCAGCGGGCGGTCACCGAGCAGCTGGAGGGCAGCACCTGGGACTTCTGTAGTGAAGACTGCAAAAGCAAATACTTGCTCTGGTACTTCAAGGTCAGTATTGGCACTGGCAGCTTGTGCTAAGTGCTGTGGTGGGCACGGCACCCAGATAAGTGGGCATTGCACTGAGGAAGTTCGCACTGCTGGAGTCTGGCTGGCACTGCTGCGGAGAACCTGGCACTGCTGGAGTCCTGCCTGGCAATGACGGGACACTGCTACGGGGAAGCTCACGTAGCTGGAGTCCCCAGCTGATCCTGCCAGACAGAGCACTGCACTGAGGAAGCTCACAGTGCTGGATCCGCGGCTAGTGCTGCTGTGAGAAGTTCGCACCGCTGGAGTCCCTGGCTGGCACTGGCAGGGCACTGCTGTGGGGAAGCTCACAGCACCTTGCTATGTGCACCTTTCACTGGAGAGTTGTGTTGCACTCGGAGGGGGTGTGGTTAGTTACTCGTTGTTTCTCTCCTGCTGATGCGGGCTTTAGGCAGCTCGGTGCCATGCCTGCAAGCGTCAGGGGAAGCTGCTGGAAACCATCCACTGGCGGGGGCAAATCAAACACTTCTGCAACCAGCAGTGTCTGCTGCGATTTTACAATCAACAGAACCAGCCCAACCTGGACACGCAGAAGGGGCCCGAGAGCCTGCTGAACAGTGAGTAGGAGGGAGGGAGGGGACCTGCATAGCTCAGTCTGAGAGACACAGGGAAGACTGAACGGCAGGGGTGGAAGCTTCCTGCTTGGGACTGGAGGAGACGCTAGGGAACAATCCTGCACTGGCCCCTGGGGGGGAAAGGACGGAGTGGGACCTAATGGGCTTCTCCATCTCTAACATCTATGGTTCTATGACACACAGGGCCCAGACGGGAGGAGCCGGTGCCAGCGTGCTGCCTGTAGCTCACACTTAGCGAGGATACTCAGGGATTTAACATCCTCAAGTTGCCAGCGGAGAGCTCGATTTACAGGGTTAGGGGACAGCGTGGTTTGGCATGACAATCCACCTGCAGCCCCACACCACCTCCAAGCTGTGACCTTCTCAGATCTCATAAGCTAATCTGGATTGGGCCAGGTCAGTGCTTGGATGGGAAGCATTCAAGGACAAAGAAGGGTGCTGCAGGAAGTGGTGCTGGTGACGCTGTAGGTGGGCTCTCCTCAGCCAGAGCTGAACCTAGAACGGTCTTGAGGGAGCACTGAGCTGCTGGAGGCACTCTTGTCTTGTGATGTTAGATTGGAGTCCTACCATTTACCCAAAGTTCACTGCAGCTTTGGGGAGTTGCCAACCCTGTCCCCCAGATAACCCCATTCTGCATCCATGGAGTTCCAGCTGGAGAGGAGATTTTCGCTGCCTGTTGCCCCATTTCCTATCGTTAACTTGAGCCAGTTGCTTATGCAAGATTGCAAAGTGCTTTGGGATCCCTCAGGATGGAAGGTGCTCGTAGTGAGTGACAAGACATCGCTTGGCCCTTGGACTTTTGCATAATCTCATTCTGCTTGGTCTGGCATAGGCCACGATGTCCTTGGTAATCTGTGGGATCTAGTTAAGATGCCTGCAGTTTATGGTGGGACTTCCTTCAGTGTATCAAGCTCCAACACATACCTGCGCTGCAGGTTCAGGGCTTTGCTGCCTTCCCTGGGATTTCATGAAGTGTAAAACCCTGGCTAGGGTGTACCAAGGAGGGGAAACCAAGACAAGGACCTTCACGTGAGAGACCTCATCATCCACCTCCAGATTCTTCTAGTTCCTCTCCTGTGGGCTGATTGTAAGATGGGGGAAGCTCCAGATGTCGCTGCTGCTTAGATAGCAAAGCAGAGCTGCTTCTCCAGAAGCAGCAGGTTCCCCCAGCTAGGGGAGTCCCAACCTGCCTTCCAAGAGCTGTGTGAGGTGACAGCTCAAGTGGCAGGACACTGGAGTGACCTGGATAAGGAACTGTTGGTTTCTGCTGGCACAAGGGTGCCCATGGGAAGTCTGCTTGATGGTTTACAGTGTTCTGCTGCCCAGGAGAAGAAGAGATGTTAAACTTGCTGGTTCCTGTAGCTCACCAAGTGATTCCACAGCCCTAGCCATCCTGTTGCATTTGTCCTCTGCTTTCAAGGCATGTCACTTGTGAGGGACCAATAACACTGCTTTTGCAACACAGGCACAGTGGCAAACTCTGCCTGCAGAGGGAACCATGTTTCACGTTGTTTAGCCGTTGGACCTTGCTACTTGGAGCCATGGACCACAAGACTCAGAAGTACCTTCACCACCACCACCAATCACGAGAGTCTCAGGCCCCCTGTACCACATCTCTGGAAAGCTCCAAGAATTTTGCTTCTTGGTATGTGGGGCATCACCCTTCACTGTGCCACAGCTGCCTCTCTGTGCCCCCTGTGAGGACTCTGAGGGAGCCAAGGAAAAGCCCTTCATCAGTAGTGAGTGAGCACAAGCTCCAGGCTGCCCCAGCAGCTGCTGTGCTCGGTGAATGCTGCTGGTGGCACTGGGCCCTCTGTGTGTTCTGGCACACCCAGATGTGGGATAGCCATGGACACCCTTGCCCCAGGACTGTGGCATACTGCTGAGTTTGCAAAGGAAGGGTGCTGGAGCCAAGGACCTGCTTACACAGAGAGCTTTCCAGCCCACTGTGCTGTGCAGGGAATTTGAGGAGGAGCAGCTTGTCAGCTCATGATGAGGAGCAGCTTTGCCTGGTGCAGTCAGGGTGTCCTGTGGACCTGGCAGCTGCATCGCCAGCTCACAAGGGACTGCCTGGATTTCAGGCCCATCGTGGGCAGAGCTGTTGACTACTTGGTTATTCTGTTGCAGCCAGTGGTTGCCTAGAACCCTTAATTCCCGTGACCCACTGGCTGCTACCAACTTAGTGATCTTGAGACTGCTTGTTGCTGATCATATAAGCAGCTATTCTTTTGCTGGGAACAGTCCATGTAATGCAGGATTGAGGAGCTTCTGCTACAAAACTGTGCCCAAACACTTCCAAGGGGAACTGGCTCTGCATGGGACTGACCAACTGGAGAGGGTAGAGGGTCAGAAGTCACTGATGGGGCAGGCATGCCTTGACAGCTCTTTGTTGGTATTGGGATGAGAGTAAAGAACAAACCACAGTTTTCCTCGAAGCCTGGACACATGGAACTTTGTGGCAGGAGAATCTTGTTTTCTTAGTCCTAAATCATTGGCCTGTGGGGCAATCATGTTTGCTTTTGATTTTGCTGCAGCAGAAATTCCACTCCTGTGCCATAGCTTGTCTTTTCTCAGTCAAGCCACTGATGTTTCCTACCTGGACCTGCTGCCCATCCACTTTGGGCTGTCAGGGTGAGTTCTTGGACCCTGAGACTGCTGCAGAACCTATGGCTGAATGCTCGGCTGCAGACTAGGGAGCTTCCTCTAGCTGGAACTTGCCTGTTTTCCGCTGTGGTGGCCAGCAAGTGGAGCCCGCCAGGCCTCCAGTTGCACAAGAGCTGTCCTGCATTTCCTTAGGACAGAGGAAATCTGCACAGTGCATGGTCTGTGTGTTGGACCTCTAGGAATCTGGGTCTTTCCTGAAGAGCCAGTCTGTGTGTAGGAGGTGCAAATGGACCCGCCACTGCCTTTGGGTGCTGAGACCTGCTGCTTTCCTCGCAGGTGTCTCCTCCATGCATGACCCACAGTTAGTCAGTGCTGTAGAAGGCAGATGTTTCTGGCAGCCACATGGGTAACCAGGGCTCACTGGAGGCTGGGATGAAGGTGCTCTGTTAGCTCATAGGCCTTTGAGATGGGTGCAGGTTCTCTGCAGAGCAAATGAGCTGGAATTATCATCCAGGGCAGGGTGATACTGTCACCACCTGAGACTGCCTGCCACATGCACCTCTTATCTGTAGGTGATCCCTTCTTTCCTTAGGGGAATATACTGCATCCCTAGGGCTAGGGCAAAGCTGTCTCTCTGCTTTCTGAAATATCTCATAATGCTACTGATAGCTCTGTCACCTTCTTCCTAGGGATCTCGAAGCACTTTGCCAAGATATTTGTAGCAGGGATATGGAGGCACAGGGAGAGGCCATGGCTCGGTACAGCAAGCCAATAGGCAGAGCTGGGAATAGAGCCCTGGATTCCTCTCTCAACAAGGGGCTGGGATTTCTCCTGACCTGCTGTGATGGGGATGGGGTGGACTGCAGGTGAGCACAAAATGACATGGGAGTAACTCGATTTTGGAGTTGTAGTGTCTTCTGAGCTGCTAGGGCTAGAGATTGTGGAAACATTAACTATTCCTGGAGTGGCCAGGAGGAGTTTCTGGGGAGCCTGTCCCTGCTCTCTGGCTGCTGGTACCTCCAGTCCCAGCAGTGGGACACATTGGCCTAGGAGCTCTTGAACTCAAGAGTTGTTGCTTTCTCTTACAGGTCAGACTTCAGATCCAAAACCAGCTGTCCCTTCCCCACAGAAGACAGAGACTAACATGGTAAGACCCATTGGAGGTAGGAGTTTGCAAGATAGCACAAAGAGAGAACAGTTCTGCCATTGCTCAGGGGGATTTCGTTCTTCTACAATCAATGAATTTTAAGATGTCTGGATAGTGGGAGCTCATAAGAGCTCCTAGGGAGGGCAGTATCAGCATAAGTCCTGCAAGGGGGAAGAATAACCATTCCCTAGGAGTTGATGATGAACTCCAGAATAACCTGACACAGTGGCACTGGCTTCTTTTGCATGGTGCTTTTCTGTGCCTGGGTTTAGTCACTGTCCCACTGTTTCCTCTGCCCCGTGGGACGGGAGCCACCAGTGCCAGACTCCTGGCACAGCAGGGACACCACACAGGTTTGCTGCCTGCCAGGAGCAGCTTGGCAGTCCTTCGTCCAGGCCTGACGTGTGTGTTGGGGACTGCCAGGCCCCAGGAGGTGCTTTGGGAGTCACTCCAGCTGTAGCTGTAGTAGGAAAGAGGTTGTGCTGCCTTAGGTGAACATCAACCTCCTGCTTTCTGCATTTTCTCAGCTGTCAGCAAAGGCCTCCTCAGCCCAGACATCTTCAGCTGCGCCGCCTCCCGCCCCACCAGTGGTTCCAGCTACCCCTCGGAAAAACAAAGCTGCCATGTGTAAACCACTGATGCAGAACCGGGGCGTTTCCTGCAAGTTAGAAATGAAGTCCAAAGGATGTCAGACAGGTAGGAAAACAAGACATAACTGCAGGATTACAGGGGCATTTTGGAAAGGCAAGGGGCACATCCCTGCTCCAGACTCTGCATCCAGCTTGAAACGCTGCACAAAGTGTGTTTGGCACCATGCTGAGGAGTCTGTGGGCAGGTGCAGGGCACATGTGGCAGGGCTGGAGGCAGGGAGCCCATTCCCATCATCAGCAAAAGGAGAGATGCAAAGAGCACTGTAGCATGATCCCACTTCTTGTGGGACAACTCCTGTTGCTCTGGAGATTGTTAGCTTGTCCGAGGGCCATCTGCTGAGCATGTTCCACTCTGTAGCTCATGCTGGGCATGTGTGTGTGGTCTCCAGCATGTGCAAGGCAACTGGACCTCTTGGCAGGGTTACATAAGAGCAGGACTTGCACTTCTGGCTAAGGCAAGCCTCTTGTTGCCAGGCTTGACTTGCTGCTGCTCCAGCTCTGTCCGTAAATCATAGAAGCTGGGGGCTGGAAGGGCTGCAGTGCTGGATGGCTGGGTGCACGTCAGTGGGTGGCAGGGCTGGGTGGAGGAGCTTCTGGGATCAAGCTCACTGATGTACTTTTGCTCTTATCAGAGGCTGACTGGAAGCCCCAGGTGGTTGTATTGCCAATCCCCGTCCCGATCTTCGTGCCTGTGCCTATGCATATGTACTGCCAGAAAGTACCTGTGCCTTTCTCCATGCCTGTCCCGGTAAGCAATGCACTTCACCTGCTCCTGTTCTCCTACTGTCTTGATCCTGCCTTGCTGCAGCCTCTCTTCTTCTCTGTTTATCCTCTTCTCCTGCCTCTGCTTTTGTGTCAATCTGCTGAGTGTCAGTTTTCTGCTTGGTGTGCTGCTGTCTACAGGTGCCTGTGCCAATGTTCCTGCCCACCACCCTGGAAAGCACAGAGAAGATTGTGGAGACCATTGAGGAACTGAAAGTGAAGATCCCCTCCAATCCCCTGGAAGCTGACATCCTGGCCATGGCTGAGATGATTGCAGAGGCTGAGGAACTAGACAAGGCCTCCTCGGACCTGTGTGGTAGGTTCTGCCATGGCTTGGTCTGGCCCAACAGCTGGGATCAAGGGAGGTTTACTGGCTCTTGGAGCTAAAACACCTGCCTGGATTGCAGCTCTCCAAAGCCTCTCAAAAAAGTAAGCAGGGAATAACAGTTCCTCAACTTCTGCTGAGGAGCTACCAAAAGGGAAGAGCTGCAGCAGGGAGCACTGTCTGCCACTTTTGGGGGTGCCAGTCTTGCGGCACTGTTAGTTTTTTCAGGTGGCTGTTCAGGCTCTTTCCTAAAGCAGCTTACTAGCTAGAAAACTAGCAGTGCTGACCCTCACCCCCAGTGATGAGGGTTGTGGCTGGGGAGGTGACAAACATCCATTGTCTTGCTGTCCAGAGAAAGCTGGGCAGTGCAGGTGTCGTGGGGCTGCTCTGAGCACAGGACTGTGCTGCATGCAGGGAGCCCAACTTCATTTCCCAGCTGTCACAGGGAAAACAGTTGGGTTTATGAACTGCTTTTGCCTTGCAGATCTGGTGAGTAACCAGAGTGCAGAGGGTCTCCTGGAGGACTGTGATCTGTTCGGACCAGCACGGGACGATGTGTTGGCTATGGCTGTCAAGATGGCAAATGTCCTCGATGAGCCGGGCCAGGATCTGGAGGCTGACTTCCCTAAGAGTAAGAACTGGGGGAAGCAGGTGTGCAGGGCTGCTTGTGCTGCAGCAGGGTCCTCCCAGTGCCCTCAACCAACTGTTGCCAGCAGCTCTAAGAGCTGTGTGAATTTACCTCCCCATGCCCTCTGACTGACCAGGCCTAGGGCTGAGCCTTGCAGATGACTGCTTGCAGCAAGGGTGAGGGGACCACCACTTCTGAAGGAGTGTGTGTTTGTCTAGACTAACTTACCTGCAGAGATCTGCAGAGATCTGCAGAGAAGGGGGAATGAGAAGCTGGTTTTAACAGCACAGAGAGCAGGGCAGCAGCACTGGTGTGCTTATGGATGATGATTCCAGAGGAACCAGCAAGGCAAGAAACCTGGACAAAGCATGACATCCTGGAAGTGGCAGAATTGCTGAATGTCCATTATCAGGCAGAAGGTGGAAGAGGAGGCAGGGACTCACAGAAGCACAGCAGTGCTGGGCAGGGTGGTAGCAGCAAAGGATAGAATTGAGGTGCCTGTGCCAGGCTGTCCACAGTACTGGCCTGGTACAAGGGCATTAGGAATGTTCCTCAGCTTTGAAAAACAAGCAAACAAAAACCTGTCAGAGGGGAAAAATGTAGGGCTCTGGTTATTCTGAGAGAGCTTAGCATCATCTGCCAGAAACATATTTCCTTTGTTGTACTGTGGCTAAAGTTCATGCCAGACAGTGGTGGGGGGTGCGAAGTGTCCTTGCTTCATCTTGCTGTATGTAAAACACTTGCCAGCACAGGGGACAGGATGAGAAGTCTCAGCTGAGCCCTTCTGCCTGTGTTTCCTTTCAGACCCTCTAGACATCAACCCCAGTGTGGACTTCCTCTTTGACTGTGGGCTGGTGGGACCAGATGATGTGTCCACAGAGCAAGATCTGCCTCGAGCTGTCCGAAAGGTGAGCTCTCTTTGGGTGCTGCCTGCTTAAAGCTCTTTGGGCTTGGAGCTGCCATCTGGGATGTAGGAGGTGAAATGTGCCAGAGGCTTTGGTGTGCTGGGGAGGTTGTGCCCTCTCCCCTCTGAACATGCTTGGCCTGTGGGCCACTCCTTGAATGAAAATACTTTGGAGGAGCTTTGAATGCTACAGGTCATGTGAGAGCTGGTCTCGTTCCTGTGGCCGTCATAATGGGCCTTGTTGGCTTGGTTGTCAGCAGAAGGGTGCCTGCTGGCGTGGGCACAGGCACACTGGGAGTCACACACTGCAGTCACAGGTCTGAGGGATGGCCACAACTCTTGCACCTGTCCCAGGTAGGTGCCCAGTCTCACAGTACACCTCTCTGCAGGGGCAGAAGCGCCTGGTGCTCTCTGAAAGCTGTTCCCGGGACTCAATGAGCAGCCAGCCCAGCTGTACAGTCCTGAACTACTCGTATGGAGTGAATGCCTGGAAGTCCTGGGTGCAAGCCAAGTACGCAGGAGGAGAGACCAGCAAGGGAGAGGAGCTACGCTTTGGCCGTAAGTGCCTTGTGTGGATGCAGTGGAGTGGCAGAGACCTCCCAGAAGCTGGATCTCAGGGTGCTGAGGTGCTCCTGACCTTGCAGGCTGTTGTCTGAGGCTGCTGTGCTTGTCTCCGCAGCCAAGCCCATGAGGATCAAGGAGGACATCTTAGCCTGCTCAGCAGCTGAGCTCAACTATGGCCTGGCCCAGTTTGTCAAGGAGATAACACGGCCCAACGGGGAGCGCTATGAACCCGACAGCATCTATTACCTCTGCCTTGGCATCCAGCAGGTGAGGGAGGCCTTGCTGCCCTCCAGTCCTCCACAGCCAGACTTGGGGTCAGAACTGGTAGGGGGAGCTTTTACCCTTCATTCTACTTCCTGGGGACCCAGAGAGGCTCACTGGACTCACCTTCATTGCCTCACCCCAGGACAGCAGCTCTGGTGGCACAAGGAAGGGTGCTCTGCATGTGTGCCCTGGGTTCTCTGGGGAGGGTTTGCGTTCCAGGTGCTGCTGTGTTTCTCTTGACTGTGTGTTCTGTCCTTTCTAGTACCTGCTCGAGAACAATCGTATGGTGAATATATTTACAGACCTTTACTACCTGACCTTCGTGCAGGAGCTGAACAAGTCCCTGAGCGGCTGGCAACCCACAGTCTTACCAAATAGTACGTGTCTTCTGAGTACCCTCAGTCACCACACATACCCAGTTTGTGCTCCTAGCCTGGGATCCTCTGGTCTGATTGTGTTCCCCCAGCCTCAACCCTCTTTCTTGGTGTAGGCAGCACAGTCCTGCTGTGTCTTGGGGTCAGGCTGACCCAAACTGACAGCAGGGCCAGTGTGGTTTACGCCTCAGCAGCTTCTGTAGCCCACAGTCAGCATAACTGGGAGCTGAGCACACATGCTTTCTTTCCTGGGACAGTTTGAATCTTTGCAACACTTCACAGTGATGTCTCCACCCTTTGGCAAAGAGGATGCCAACCCAGGGGGCACACTGGCACATGTCTTTGTGTTCCCAGCACATGGGTGAGCCCTGCACACTGTGCTAAGCCTTGGCCAAGGTTACTGTGCTGCTGCCTTGTGAATGGACTTAACTTAGAGCTCTGCAGAGGCTTTTCATGATGCTGTGTTCTGAGGTGCCTTCCCTGCTGTGTCTTGTCAGTCAAAGATCCAGCCTCACCTCTGCATATTGGCTGTCCCAGGCAGAAGCATTTGGCTCCAGACCTGTGTATTTAGGCAGGAGCTGGCTGTGTCTCTCCTGCCTGCTGCTTTTCCTTCATCTCTCACTGAGTGTGGTGGAGCACTGACCTGGAGATCACTCTGTGGCCATCTATAGTGATGAGCAATTAGAATTAATTTGGGTTCTTGTCTGTGGTTTGGCTGTGATCTGGGGTGGCTTGTGGCAGAGCCAGCATCTAGTTCTGCTGATGGCTCTGGAGAAGTAACCTTATGGAAAAAAAGATGTTGTGAAGTGTCAGTCTTTCACAGATTTCTGGGCAGGATGAAGGAATTGCCGTAAGGCTGCTGTTGATGTGACCCGGTTCTTCCTCTGTGTGTTGCAGACACTGTTTTCTCCCGTGTCGAGGAGGAGCACCTCTGGGAGTGCAAACAGCTGGGTGTTTACTCACCCTTTGTGCTGCTGAACACCCTCATGTTCTTCAATACTAAGTTCTTCGGGCTACAGACAGCGGAGGAGCACATGCAGCTCTCCTTCACCAACGTGGTGCGCCAGTCCCGCAAGTGCACCACTGCCCGTGGCGTGACAAAGGTGGTGAGCATCCGCTACTATGCTCCTGCCAAGCAGAAGAAAACCCGAGGTAGGGCCTGAGGGAACATCTCTGTCCCTCCCCCTGCTTCCCCTGTTGGGATACAGCCATGATCCAGCTCTCTTCCCCCTCTGCAGATGGTGGCTCTGGAAAACGGAAGCGTGAGGAGGAGGTACCGATGTTGGAGCAGCGGGAGAACAGGATGAACCCCCTCCGATGCCCAGTCAAGTTCTATGAGTTCTATCTCTCCAAATGGTGAGGCTTTCTCTGGAGAAGGGACATGTGCCATTTTGGGGCCACCACTCAGTTTTAGCGGGACCATGTGGAGTGACTGCTGCTCTCCATATGTTTGTACATGGGCTTGAAGCCTTGCACAAGGTCTGTGCTGCATGTGTAGATCACGGTTGAGAAAATGCTTCTCTCTGGCCTCTTCCACTTCTTGCCTTTCTCCAGACTGGCAGGAGCGTGCCATATGAGTCCAGGTGCTTGGGTAGTTAGCGGTTTTGGTCCTGAGCAAGGAGCTGCAGGCTCAGTTTGTGTCCTCATCCTGCTGAGTGATGAGAGGCTGTGGCAAGCCTTGAGCCCCCCTTGCTAACCATGACAGCAGGCCAGGCTGGCTGAGCCCCTGAAGCTGAGACCCCCCAGGTCTGACCTTGCTCTCCCTTTGCAGCCCCGAGAGTCTGCGGAACCGCAACGATGTGTTCTACCTGCAGCCCGAGCGGTCCTGCATCGCCGAGTCCCCGCTGTGGTACTCGGTGATCCCCATGGACCGCAGCATGATGGAGAGCATGCTGAACCGCATCCTGGCCGTCAGGGAGATCTACGAGGAGCACAGTCGGCTCAGCAGCCTGGAGGATGACATGGACTAAGAGTGAGGTGCTGCTGGGCTGGCTGTGCTCCAGCCCTGGACACCCCATCTTCCTGCCTCCCGCTGCAGGGCAGGGGCCGTGCAGCACGGGAGGGGATGGTGCTGCAGCAGTGCTGTCCCTTCATCATTACCAGACTTGGACATCCCATCCTGCTTGTTACAGGCCTCCCTTACATACATGGCCCTCATGCTCAGCTCTGCCTCCTCCTTTTGGCTGCTGGGTGAACCATCTTTCCCAGGGCCAGTTCCCATGGCACAGGGGTGGCAGAGTCCCTGGGGCACCTGCCCTCACCTTTGTCCCCCCTACCCCCAGCCCTGCCACTCCCCCCCTCTTCCCCTGCCCCAGGGCAGGAATCTCACAAGGCAGCAGTGCACCATCAGACCAGTGGTCCCAAAGCTTTTATTTCCCTCTTCCTTCATCATTCCCTCATGAGGGTGCAGGTGGTATGGTAGGAACAGTAGCTCTGCTACTGGGGCAGAATTGTGGTTACAAGCCAGTGGGGATGGACCACAGGCTACCTGAGAGCCGTAGGGTCAGGGGGAGGGCTTTTCCCAGGTGTGGGAGAGGTTTAGGTTGGCTTCAGAGGGTGGAGGGAGCTGGCACTGGAACATGAGAGCAGAGATCTGGCCTTGCCATGGGGACACCTCCCTCATGTGCAGCTGAGATGTCTCTCTCAATTTGGTCAGTGTTTCCTGAGTTGTCTGAAAACTGATGGAGATGGGTCTGGGTCAGTGCTGCCCCTCTTTCCCCACTGTCCCCTGTCCTGGTGTAGGTCCCCTCCCCCATGCAAGGTGCCATCAGTGGGAACCTCTGCTCCAGCCAGGGTCTTGGGCAGCTGCTGGCAGAAATAGGGAGCTCTGCCTGGTCTCCCCCTCCCTTCCAAAGCAGCAGGCTGCCACCGCCCTGCCCAGAGCAAGTCTGGCTCCAGCTGTGCCACTCCCTGCTGCCTCCTGCCCCTCCTCGTGTTCTGGTCAGTTTTATTGAGCTGTACATGGGTCTCCTGTTGAGCCTGTATATATTGTTCTGGGCCCTGGCCCGGGGCCATCTGTTCTCTGTGTCCATGTGGAGAGTGAGCCGCTCACCAGTCTTGTTGTAGTGATGCCAGGGCAGTAGGAACTAACCCTGTGTCTCTGGAAACCATTCATTTCAAATAAAGATGTGGAAAACTTTTGGCAGCCCCTAGTTTCCCACCCTGGGCAGGGTGAGCATTGCAGGAGAGCATGGCCAGTGTCCCTCTGCTGCTGTACACCACACTCCTGTCCGTCCCTGCCTGCACTTCCTACCTTGCCAGCTTGGGCATGCTGGGATGGCCCCTGACCCAGTGCCCTCTGACACCAGCCTGGCATGCCCTGCCTGTCCCTGCCCTGCTTCACCTGACCTGTCACCTGCCCACAGGGCTGCAGCCCAACCCAACCCAACCCAGCAGTGACCGTGCCCTGGCCATGCAGTGTGTCTGTAGGATGGACCAGTCAGAGAGCAATGCCATGTGGGCAGAGCAGGAGTCAAGGGAGGTGCAGTGAGTGTTTATTTGCTCCCCCATCCCAGTTTTACTCTCAGCCCTGCTGCTCCCAGGAGTGCTGGGAGCAGCTGAGCCGTGTGCCCAGGGCCATGCCCAACTCTCGTGCTGGCCACGGGATCCATGTCACGGACCTGGCAGGGCCTGGAGACTGAACCACCGCTGTGGCCACCAGTGCATCCCCCATCCCTGACCATCCCAGCAGGCCACGTTCACACTGCCAGGTCTGCCGCTCGCATCTCCCCGTGGGACCCACCAGCCACCCCTAGCCATGCTCCCGCCTTCTTCAGGGGTGCCAGGCCGTGGGGGGATCTGCCAGCAGCCAGGGGGCTGCCAACCCCGGGCAGGGTGACATGGGCACTGCGGGGCCCTAAAGGGCCACTGGGAGTGGTTATGATACGGGACTTGGGGCCTGGCCCCTGCCGGCACTTGGTGAGACCCAGGTAGTAGATCTCCACCAGGTTGAGCAGCAGGGAAACGCAGGCCACCCCCAGCATGAAGAGGATGAAGATGGTCTTCTCAGTGGGCCGGGAGATGTAGCAGTTGACAGTGTTGGGGCAGGGCCAGCGGCTGCAGGTGTAGAGGGGCTTCAGCTGGAACCCGTACAAGGCGTACTGGCCCACAATGAAGGCCACTTCCAAGAGAGCCTTGAAGACAACGTTGCAGATGTACGTCCTCAGGATGGCCCCCCGCATGCAGACCCGTCCCCGTGTGTCCCCTGCAGGGAGCTGGGGCTGCCTGGGGCGCGGCCGCCTGGCCCCGCTGCCGGCCCGCACTGCCGCTTGCTGCTGTGCCTTCTCCTCCAGATGCACCAGGTGCAGGATGTGGCCCAGATACACAAGGCTGGGGGTGGAGACAAAGATGATCTGCAGGACCCAGAAGCGGAGATGGGAGATGGGGAAGGTGCTGTCATAGCAGGCGTTCTGGCAGCCGGGCTGCTGCGTGTCGCAGGAGAAGCCAGACAGCTCGTCACCCCAGACCCGCTCAGCGGCTGCCCCCAGCACCAGGATGCGGAAGACGAAGAGGACAGTGAGCCAGACCTTCCCCACCACTGTGGAGTGCTCCTGGGCGTTCTCCAGCAGCCGCCCCAGCAGGCTCCAGTCCCCCATGGCACACGCTGCCCTGCAAGACAGCCGCCCTCCAGACACAGCCGCCCCACAGCCCACCACACTGCCACCCCATCCCCCGGATGGGCAGGAGTGCACAGACCCAACCCAAGGCTGTCCCTGCAGTGTCCCCATCCCAAGGGACCCCCTAACCCATCACAAGGAAGGCAACGGGAGCAAAGGCCTCCAGCAGAAATCTGGGAGCACCAAGGGGATCCCTGGGGACTCCTCACCTGTAGGTGGGTGTGTGGGGCAGAGCCCAGTGCTCCCGTGCCGTCGGCTCCCGGGATGCAGGATGCTGCGAGGCCCCTTCCCAGCTGGTCCCCAGCTCCTCAGTGGGTGCGGACAGGTCTGCCTGGCTTCCTCTGTCCGTTCACCCAACAGCAGGCGTGGGGTTATTGGGGCACAAGGCAGCTGCACGCCCCATTGGCTTTCATTGTGACTGGCACATGGAACAGCCACTGGGGAAACCTTTTCCCTCTATTTTTGGTCTGGGCACTTTTCTAAATATATTCGGGGCTGCAGGGGCTGGTGCTGGGGGAGCACAAGCCCTTGGACACTGATCAATGCCACCCAGGGGTCACTGCTCCTGCAAGCTATCTGCCAGGGTACCACAGCCCCAGCTCAGCCCGGGCACTGCAGCCTCCATAGCCCCTGGTGCCACCCACCAGGGCTTGGGCGCAGGAGTGGGCACCCCACACTGGCACCCCCACTCCCGGCATGCCCCGGCCAGAGCAGAAAGGAGGGAGGCAGCACCTGAGAATGGAGATTTAATGGCCCAAGAAACTCTCCTGGCCATCTAGGAGAGCCCGAGTGGTGCCTGAGGAATGCTATCCTTGGGACAGGGACAGCAACAAGGCCGTGGGACGACTGTGGGGCAGGGTCCCCCACAGTGCTGGCCCTAGCAGGCAGAGCAGCGGTCACCCTTCTCCTGCAGCCCAGAGTTGCGGCGCAGCATGTCCTTGAGGGAACCGTCCTGCTCTGTCAGCAGCTGGTTGATCTCATTCTGCTTGTACTCGGAGGAATGCTTGTGCCCATAGAAGGAGCTCTTCCCTGACGAGGGGTTGGAGTTGTGCCGGCTCCGGCGGGCACAGGCCCGCACCACCAGGTAGACCAGCTCTGCCATATTGAGGACAATGCAGATGCTGGAGGTGACCAGCATGAAGACGGTGAAGATGGTCTTCTCAGTGGGCCGGGAGATGAAGCAGTCAACAGTGTTAGGGCAGGGATAAGCCTCGCACTTGACCAACCGCATCATCTGGTAGCCCGGGTAGAGCATGTAGAAGATGTACATGAACACAGCCTCGAAGAGCAGCCTGAAGACCACGCTGCAGACGTACGTCCACCACAGCGAACCCGAGATGCGCATCTTGTGCTTCTTCACCTCTTCCATGTGCTTGGCATCTCCGTGCCCCGTCAGCAGCAGCAGCTTCTTCTCCTGGTGCTGCTGGTAGGCCACGTGCATGGCTACAAGAAGGGCTGGTGTGGTGACGAGGATGAGCTGCAGGGCCCACAGACGGATGTGGGAGATGGGGAAGAAGTGGTCGTAGCAGACACTGTTGCAGCCAGGCTGCTGGGTGTTGCAGGTGAAGGCGGATTTCTCATCCCCCCAGACACTCTCAGCTGCCACCACCAGCACCATTATCCGGAAGATGAAGATGACAGAGAGCCAGATGCGGCCGATGGCGGTGGAATGGCGGTTCACCCCGCTCAGGACCGTGTAGAGCCCAGCCCAGTTCATCGTTTCTCACGTCTGCAGGAGAGAGCGGTGAGAGACGGTGTTAGGAGCAGGAAGGGTCCTTGGCTGAGAGCCACCATGTCCTGGCCCAGGTGGCAGCAGCCCTGGGAGCAACTGGCTGTCACAGCCCTGGCAGGTGGACGGCAGGATGGACGGAGAGCAGGATGGCAGAGTGGCTCCTGCTGCTGACAGGGCTCAAGGCAGCATTTTGACCAGACCAGGCAGGAGACCGTCTGGCCCTGCCACCCCACGCTGGTACAGGGATCCTAACCCACAGCTGCCACAGAGGATGGCGAAGATCCCACACCTCCACAGGGACCCCTAGTCCGTACCCAGTGCTGTGTTCTTAGGCTAGGAATGGACCCAAGGAGCAGCATGGGCTCCTCTGCACCAGCACATCCCTTCCTTTGTCACCCCACTCCCTGTGGGAGCAGGGCCAGGGAACCCCCTATGCAGTCACGCATTGTCACCCTCCCAGAACCATCCCTGCCTGGGGAGCATGAAGTGACCCCGCACTCCAAGCACAGACCCCTGCCCCACCAGAGCCTCCCACTGGCACTGAGCAGCCCCGGGAGCTGCTTCCCACCCCGACATGAGGCTGCGGGGCTGGAACCTGCCCTCCAGCCACCCCTGGTGTGGAGAGTCGTGTAAACGCGTACCTGTGAGAAAGGGTCCTCGCAAGCTGCCCCCAGTGGCCCCTCTAAGGTCTCATGCCTCCCGCAGGAGAGCTCTGCTCCGCCTGCCCTCGTCTCTCTCTGCCACTGCCCTGCACTGGAAGTCATATGCTGCTTTATAAACTATTTACATACAATGGGGCCTTTATCGGCCCCTGAACAACACACTTTAGCATTCAGATCTAACGCCCTGACTTCCGCCCACCCTGGCCCAACAAAGTGCCTGTGTGCTGCATTCCCGCTGCTCGGCCCCGCACCCACTCCCACCTCCCCACCACACCCCGACCACGGGGTGCCCATGGCACAGACCACGCCACAGACATCGCTGTGCTGGGCTGGCGACCCAGGCTGTCTGGAGGTCCCTTCCCTTCCCCAGGATGCACGGCAGAGCCCAGCCGCGTGCCCATCCCGCATGGACAGCACAGGGCTGTGACTGGAGCAGGGGTCTGGCACTGAGCACTCCGTGGGTACCCGTGGGGTTGGGTGCTGCTGTTGTGAGTCCTGCCGTGCCCTCAAAGCTCTGCTGCCAGGGGGTTGGTGCTGACAGCGACGGCTGTGAGGGCACTGGAATTTCCTTGCATGTGCCCTGTCCTGTTGGGGACATGGGAAAGAGTCTGCTGGAGTGACGCAGGCTGTGTGCTGGAAGAGGCTGCCCTCGGTGCTGAGCACTGTAGGGGCTCTGCTTCTCTTCCAAGATGGGCCCACTGACGCTGTTCTACTGCTTGGACATGCTGGTGGGGGCAGCAGTCCCTGTGCTCACATCCCACCCCGTGCCCCTCAGGGCTGGTGTCCCAGCCACACCGCCACACTGTGCCCCATTCCTGCAGAGATGGGGCCACATCCCTTGGGGTTTGTCGCCAGCCTCTGGTGTGGAGCAGCACATCCAGTAAACCCTGCCAGCTGGGGGCTGCAGGTTGGCAGGGCAACAGTGCCATCCCAAATGCCACCTCCTCCCCTCTGCCCGGGGTGTGAGTGCCCGGAGCTGCGCAAACAGTAGCAGGCAAAGAACCTCCAGCAAAACTAGGGGGAGAGCAACCAATGCCCACACTCTGCCCCTTGCCCAGCTCCCCCCACTGGGGCCAGCACCACCAGCTCTGCCCTCCCTGGCCCATGGCCGAGCCCCTCTGTGACTCCCCACCCTGGCCTCTGTGGTGCTGCCCAGCTGGGGGGCATGTAGCCACCACCCCCCCGCCAGTAGTACTGTGCCCTCCGGCTTCTCACCTCAGCACCAGGCGAAACAAAGTTCTTGGGGATTGCAGCAGACTCACGCTCCAGCAAAGCCCTGGACTTTATACTGCCCTCCAGCACTTCACCCACCCCCCTCCCAAACAGCCTTGTTTTCCAGGACTTGCTCTACCTGGCCCTGCCAAGTAAACACTGCAGGTGTGTCCAGCCTGGACTCACCCCCACCAGCACCAACCACGCAGCTGAGCATCCCCCCAGCTGAGCATCCCCCGGGGACAGCTCAGGGGCCACTGCAGCACTAAGGCAGGGCCAGCCCCCCAGGATGGTCCTGTGGGAGCTCTCTGGTCTCATGGCCACACTCCCCCTACTTCAAGCATCCTCTCTGCCACATTCCCTGCAGGCCAGGCACATATACCATGGCAGAGCCCAGGAGACAACTCTGGGTACCCCCAGCTCCCAGGACAAATTGACCTGCTTTTGCAGCAGATCTGCTTTTGGAGCCACCAATACCCAGATTTAATGTTTACAACTGCAGCCGACAAAGGCAAACAGCCTGTAAACGATTAACCCAACCGGCCCGCTTCAAGGTCCCGCCGCCCAGCACCCCGCGCGGGACACGGCGACCCTGCCCCTCATGCTGGGCCCCTAGGTGGGCTTCAGGAGCCTGAGCTGCACCCCATCCCCTGCGTGAGGGTGACAGTAGTGCCGGCATCCCCCGCACGAGGACGGCAGGGTGGCACCGTGGGGCGGCTGAGGGGAGACAAGTGATGCCCCCCCAGCGGGGCGGTGGGCGGTGGGCGGTGGGCAGTGGGCAGGGAGGTACCGGGGGTGGCCGGGGGTACGGGGCGGGTGGGGCCGCAATCTCGGCCTCTGATAAGCCGCCGGCGGCTGAGTCAGTCAGAGCCCGGCGGGGAGCGGGAGCCGCCGTTTCGCGGCACCGCCCTGGCCCCGGGGCACGCCGAGGGACCGGGGGGGCCCTCACTGAGGGGGCGTACTGGGGGGTGACGGGGGGCAGACTTGGGCGGGGAATGTGGACAAGGGGCTAGTGGGGCCAGGCTGGGAGGATCAGGCTGGGTGGGTGGCACCGGGGGGGGGGATGTCGACGGGGACGGACTGGTGGGCACTGGAGGATTTGTGGGACGGGCTAAGTGGGACGAAGCACAAGGAGTCTCCTGGAGGCAGGTTGGGGCGGGTGGGGGAGCACTGGGAGCCAGGCCGGGGGTCACTGGGGGCACTGGGAGCCAAGGTGGGGATCACTGCGAGTCACTGGAAGTCACTGGGAGCCAGGCTATGGGTCACTAGGGGCCTCCGGGGGGCTACTGGAAGCCAAGTACGGGGCATTGGGGCACTGGGAGCCAGGCGAGGGTCAGTGGGGGGTCCGGGCAGTGCGGGAGGGGGGTGGTCGCCGGCGGTGGCACCAGGTGGCGCTGCGGGGCCGGCCGGGGGCGAAGGGGCCGCACCTGCCCGCGGCAGCACCCG